CGGATGCCCAGACTTTCTGATCCACACACTTCCTCCAGCTGCTCTGGTGGGACCCCGAGGTGACACTAGGCTAGCTCAGAGACATAGTCCCTTTAACGTGTCCTGAGCCTCCTTCCAATGCGACATGCCTTGAACACCTCCCCAGGGAGGCGACCAGAAGGCATCTGAAACAGATGCCCGAGCCACCTCAGCTGGGTCCTTGCGACGTGGAGGAGCAACGACTCTACTCCTAGCTCCTCAGGGGTAACTGAGCTCCTCACCCAATCTCGAAGGGTGCGCCCAGCCACCCTGCAAAGGCAACTCATTTCAGCCGCTTGTATCCGTGATCTTGTCCTTTTGGTCATTACCCAGATGTCATGACTATAGGTGAGGGTGGGAACGTAGATCGATCGGTAAATTAAGGGCTTTGCCCCCTGCGCCCACTTCCCCACAACAGTCCTACACAGCGATCGTATTACTGCAGACACTGCACCGATCCGTCTATCGTTCTCACGCTCAATCCATCCCCCCTAATGAACAAGACCGTGAGATACTTGAACTCCTCCACTTGAGAAAAGGACTCTCCACCGACCTGAAGAGGGAAGTCCACCTTTCTCTGGTAGAGAACCATGGCCAAGGTATTGGATCCTGGAAATAAAACTGTATCTCCCTAAAGTTTGTCAGCTGAAGAAAGTTTGAAGTGATCTAAGGTTTTGCTGGTAGATAGCTGCACTGACTACGGACTTTATAAAGCACAGTAGACTGGATCAACACCAAAATACATGGCATCCTAAGCACCAATAATTTGAGAGTTCACTCTGGACTTCAGGTAGCATGGATTTTGTGTCACTTCGCTTTTCAAGCAGTCTCTGGGATCTCAATTTCCAAATGAAAAGCAAAGTTATTCTAGTCTGACTTGAGGGTTTTAACCACTACGCTTCTGTCAATGAGTTTCTATTAGACTGATGTCAAGTGATCCTTCCTTTCCATACAGAAAACTTAATATAGAAATGCTTATTTAATGCTCTTGCATAAAATAAAGCATTTCTAACAAATAAGATATCACAGCAGTAATTTGAGTGTAAATAAACTCCAAACGAGGGTGGAAAGAGAAAGGGGAAAAAAAGAATCGGATAGCCTAAGAGTTTACTATGAACTCAGTTATTGGTCAAATTATAGCATCAAGGTCATACTGATGAAGTTGAAAATTAGTTGAAAATTAATCGACAAAATCCTCCATAGTTTAACAATGATAGAAAATCATCCTCCTGCTGTTTCCATGAAAGGAGTTGGCCTCCAGATCCAAATGCTGCTTTGCATATTTGTTGCCCTAATTTTATTCCCAATGGCTTTTTTTCTTCCTACCTCCAGTTCCTACTCTAAAATGTACTATGTTGTACCAATAAACTAGTGTCTATTTCCTATGTATTTAAGTATTTACTTTTTGAAAGCTTATTTTCTTTTCCCACGACTGAGTTTAATCTTCATTTAAGGCAGTTGAAATTTGAAATATGCCAGTGTAGGACCCCTGATTATACCAGAAATAATTAAAAGGGACTCCCTCCTGGTTAATAATGGGAACTGGAGTCATTAAATCATATTTTATTACAGCAAACTATGTTAACAGTCCTTAGTGATGGCAAGAAACCAACCTTTGACTGGCAACAGTTGGCAAAATAGCAACTGTAATTAACAACTGCATTCAGAAAGTAAACAAAAAAAGGAAAGTTAGACAAAAAAACAAGAAAAACTTCAAAGGAATGTGATGCAATGGCTGGGGAAAAAGAGATGTAAACTCATATGAAGAAAAATATACCTCAGTAATCTGGGACTAATTTGATAGGAACAAATGATGTTGTAAAGTGAGCCTCCTACAGCATAACAAATGTTCAAGTATGTGCCAACTGCAGTATTAATTAAAAGTCCACTGCTTTTTTCCCTCTTCTTTTTCCCTCTTTTTTTATATATGATGCTTCATATTTAAATATGCTGATGAAGATTCTCAGTCATCCAGGTCATAGTCATTCCGTAAAAGTAAAAAGAAAATCCACAGGACTTGGTTTCCAAAGTTTGAAGACATTTCGCCACCTCTCCAGGAAGCTTTCTCAATTCAAATGTCTGGATCCGCAGTGAGTTTGAGTCTTTATATAGACGAGGCCTTGTATTGCTTGGAAACATGCAAATAGAAACCGACGAATGGGTTGTTTGGTTCCATTGTTAGCCTGTAATACCTGAAACCTGTCTATGATTCAATCATAGGCCTTGTCTATATAAAGACTCAAACTCACTGCGGATCCAGACATTTGAATTAAGAAAGCTTCCTGGAGAGGTGGCGAAACATCTTCAAACTTTGGAAACCAAGTCCAGTGGATTTTTTTTCTTTTTTTTTTTTTTACTTTTACGGAATATTTTAATATGTTAGTAAAGAAAAAAAAACTCTATATCAATGATCAATAACCCATGCAAACAAAAATTTTTATTTTGTTTGTAATATCACTATTATTTGTATAGTTGTATGTTTTTAGTCATAAATGTTTTCTATCAGTCATTTTAAAGTTGACAATATTTTGATTTTAATGGTGATATTATTGAGGAATGAGTGCAATAAAGACAAAATAACAGATGCACAGGATTCAGATGTATGTGGTACATGGTTGATAAATAAAGCAGTAACTTTATTTCTGTTTGTATTAAAACAGATAGCTGAAAGATTTGTAGTATTAAAGTATTAAAAATGACTTGAATAGTGGTTTAGTACCATTGCTAAAGTGAGTTTGTTTTTTTTGGATTTTTAGGGAACTGAAGCCAAATACAGTATAAATAAAATAAATACATATTAATCTAGCATTAAATATGGATGCCCTTAATGTCCACAAAAGGTACCCAGTTTTCTTTAGGTGCCCTTATTTTTCTCTTTGAATAATAATAATAATAAAATAATAATAATAATAATTTAATTGAAGAAACATTCAGCTCTGGACACAAATTAACCAACAGCCCAACATGGAAGGAATTTGACTGGAAAGTCAAGATGTGTTACTTTAGCTCTCCACTTATTACATCTAAATATGGCGGGACATCTTGGCTATGCTGGAGAAACTGTGGAAAGGTGGGGGATTTTACTCATATATTTTGGGATTTTCCAAAGGTGGTTGAGTTTTGGAAAAATGTGCAAACAGATATAAAAAATATTTTAGGCATTTATTTAGATCTGGATATATCAGTCAATATTTTAGGAATAATTCCCATGGACATGATCAATAAAGACAATAAATACTTGATTAGAGTCATGCTGATCATGAAGAAGTGTATAACATAACATAACGTAATCATTGTGACTTATAAATCCATGGATGTTGTTAATGAATATGGGTTTCTCTTAATTGGGCTAATGTCTACCTGAAGAAAATGCATCTTTATTTGTCGTTTTTGGAGGTTCTTTTGGTTATTTTTTTCATCAATAGCCCCTGAATAACTGTCAACGGAGCTGGAATAGACAGTCTGTATGCCTGATGTAAGTGAAAGGTCTAAAATGATCTATAAAAATCAGATATTAAAATGTGAATTGTGAGATGTGACAGGGGTGGACATACTGTATGTATGTGTTGATATAAAAATTGTTATTGAAAATAAAAAGTAAAAGAAAAATAAAATTTTTTAATTGAGACACCCTCAGTTGTCCTTACTGTAGGTATTAGTGAATGTATTTTTAGTAACCTTTGCTCTGTGTCTCTCTACAATCATGTAATAATCATCAAGTCTGTCCAGCATGTATCCTATCGCCTTACTTTTGACCTGTGGAAATAGGCACAAGGTTAACCGCGGAATCTAGCAAAGACCAAGGGAAAACATAAAATACATCTGCAGATGTATAGTTTTTATTCAAAACGATGGAGAATATGGCAGTATTAAAGCACGGAAGTTCTTGTTCTTGGTTTAAAATCTGTCCAGGCTTAGCTCTATCTGTGTGGAGACTGGATGCAATCTTAGGTAATCTGGTCCTCGAAAGATAATTCAACAAATATAGTTGAGTTTGTGCTATAGATTCAAGAACGATCAGTGTCGGCAGAAGTTGCAATAATGAACTGTTCCCATGGAGTTTGTATGATCTTCCTCTTTAAGAAAAATATTTGTCGCAGTTTCCTGTTTTTTTCTCTTGATTCAACACTGTATTAGAACAGCTGGAGTTATTAAACTGGCCTTAGGCATGAGTAAGTGCATAAAGGATTGTTTATCTTCAATAGCTGTGTTGGACAAATGGATTAGGAGAGTGTGTTGCAAAAAAAATGTAAAGTACAAGAAAGCCACAGATCTTATGCTTTAATCCGCTTTTTTTTTTTGTTTTTGTTTTTTTACAGATTATTTGGCTGTTTGGTGGAAGCAAGAGGATCAGTCATGGGATTCGATGTGTGGAGCCTTTTCCTCCTGTTGGCTTTGTCCCTCTGGAGCAACAGTCATGCCTTGAAAATGAACCCCATCCTGTCCAGGATTCGAAGAGCTCCACAAGCTGCTGAAGAAAACAAGAAATGCTCCTACACCTTTTTGGTCCCAGAGCAAAAGATCACAGGTCCTATTTGTGCTGCCCGTGGGTACTCCACTGATAAAGACCGGGTGACGCGTCTGGACGTAGCTTCGGTGCGAGACCTACTGTCCAAACAGCGTCAGGAGATGGAAACTTTGAAGCTTGTGGTGGATGTGGATGGTAACCTGGTGAACGAGATGAAGCTATTAAGGAAGGAGAGTAGAAACATGAACTCTAGAGTGACCCAGCTTTACATGCAGCTGTTGCACGAGATCATAAGGAAAAGGGACAACTCACTGGAGCTGGCCCAGCTGGAGACACGCATCCTTAATGCCACAGCTGAGTCACTAAGGCTGACCTCCCGGTACAAAGAGCTGGAGGCCAAATATGCAGCACTGTCTGCAATCGTGAACAATCAATCAGTTCTGATTGGACAGTTGGAGGAACACTGCATGCAGATGTATAGTCGCAGACATGAACAGCCACCCATAGGACCTCCGTTGGTACAGGTGGTGCCTGAAAACATTCCAGTCAGTGTGCCACGGTTCACCAACGAGATCCAGAGTCGCAACGCCAGAGGGTTTGGCCCAGAAAGGGGCTCTCGGTCTGGGTCAACTCCCACGAGCAGTACGCCTGAGATCCAGAAATCAGAGAGAAACTTCAGCACGGAGGGTAAGTGAGAGATCATCCGTGTCTATTTATTCCTGTCTATTATCCAAGACGGCCTTGTCATGGTAAAGTGTAGGATAGCCATAACTTTGGAGGGCCAACAATAACAGGATCACACTCCCAGGCTGTGGCAGTAGATGGGCCAGAGGCCGTATTTTAAAGGTTAAAAATGTGCAAGATCAGCTGGAACTCTCCTTCATGCTGAATAGAAGACACACAGAGCAGAATGGAAACACAAATGCTGTACAATTTGAGCCAATGCAGGAAAACCTTTACCAAGGTAAAGACAGGCTTGAACGGCTTGATCTTGCTCATCAACAGAAACTGTCTGACACGCTTTCCTTACCGCTGCCCAAGAAAAATAGAGTGTGAAGGATTTCAGGACAGCTATGTTGGCAAATAATCCTTTTGAAAGAGTGTTCCATTGCGTGAGGCTTAGACAAAATTCAGACAGGCATTACGGGAGCCTTACTCAACACAAACCAGAGGAGTGTTTGACATATCTAAAGAGGCTTATAGTGAACAAAGAGAATTTTTGGTCTGTAGATATTTCCTGTTTTTAAATTTACTGCAAATTGGCATGTAACTAAGTGCCTTTATTTCAAATGATGTGTTACTAAGAATTAATTAGAATTTAATTCATCCTACCAAGTAGTATTAACCAAACATTTTTAATATGTTCCCAACTTAACACATGCAATAGTGCTGCAACTAGCGATTGTTTTGCAAGTCATTTATGTTTTTGGTTAAGCGATTAATATTTGGATAGCTTTCTTAAAGACCATTTTTTTGCAAAAATATATCAGTTGAAACTAAAACTTTTTCACATGAGGAGATAGATAGATAGAGCTATATTGACAGAGGAAAAGTTTTTTATCTTAAAAGTATTGTGGAGGATTTTCGCAAATTTTTAAAAAGACCTGCCTTCTCCACATGCACAACCCTGTACCCGCACCCCAGAGGAAACGCCTATTAAACGTTTGCGAGAGCATGCACAAGCCCATTCCTCCTTGTGCACGTTCTAGGGATAGAACGGTTTATGAAAACCGTCCGAACCGTTCGGTTCGACTGTCTCGGTTCGGTTCGCGTGTCTTTCGTTCGGTTCATACGCTGCTCCTTTTTCTCATAGGCGAAGCGTGTACACTCCAGAGCAGAAGGTGGCGGTACTGCGACCAAACAGTGTTGCCAACTCAGCGACTTTGTCGCTATATTTAGCGACTTTTCAGACCCCTCCAGCGACTCTTTTTAAAAAAAGCTACTGCCGTGGGGCGCCTCCCCCCCGTCCCAACCCCGTTTTCCCGCTTTCGCAGATGTCCCTCTCAGCGCTACAGTCAGAGACACAGATGTGTTCCCTCAGCGTCCAGACAGCAAAAGAACCGCGTGCATGCGCCAGGTTTGACGGCACAGGTTGATCACTCTGGAGTCAGCTCCCTCAGTTGCTGAGCCTGCCATAGAGAGCCTTGACCAACATGACCATGATCCACTCTTTCTGTGAGCAGGCAAGCACAGCCTGTGTGTGTGCAGGGAATTCTTATTAGTAAAAAAAAAAAAAAAAACAATAATTACCAACATTGTCATTGATTCTTTATAGTCTTTTTTTCCCATTTAGATTGTTAATGTA